TGTGATGTGCTACTTTTGAAGTTTTCTTCGATTTTGTAGTCTAGTAGTAAAGTCACTCCCCTAGCAGATGGTCTGAAGATCTCCATGTATGAACGGTTGACGGAGTTTCAATTTCTTCGTCACTGCACCCCGTCGTTACACTCCAGATCCCTAAGACGCGCTAGGAGTGGATGAGTACTTAATCTAAACCTGGCTCGAACTTGGGTTATCCGGGGGATGTACATCCGAATTCAGGGATTGGGAGTATGCTTGACCAAGAAATAACGGAAGGAAACCTGTATGGGGGACCATTAGAAGTGATAAGTTACTGTTGACACTCTGCTTGCCTAGACCTTAGGCTCGAAGCGCAAGTTTTGTGCCTTCGACATAAATGTAGCTAAAGAGTAAGTGAAGCGGAGAGAAAAGCATAAGAATATTTCCCTTCCATTTCTTTGAGTTATTCTTGTAAGGTAGCCATTCTTGCCAGCACTTGTGCCTTCGTTGATCATCGAGTTGCTGAAACTGAATCAAACGTGACCTTCCATCCCTGCGCTTATCAGAGGTGGTTTTATTGTAAATACGTTTCGTCCAGAACTTTCACGAAGAAATCATTTTAACAAGTCATCGAGGTGTTCGCTTAACATTTCCAGGAGACCGCTTCGTGATCGCTGTAGTCGGTCACCATCAAATGCATAAACTACCTAGCCCGCTCGGTCTCTGCTTGGGTAATCACAACATTGCATCATAATTTTATCATTGACGAGTAATTTTTACACTTTTGCTAATGTGTATCATGGTTGGTAATTCCTGTTTGTCAAGGAGCGTCTCAAATGCAGCATTAAATGAATAAATAAATAACAATACAAAACTTAGGTCATTCGGCGCCGTCTCCGATCTTACCGTTGAAGTCGAAGTTCGCATGTTCCTAAACCGACCAGTGGAAAACTCAACACTCAGCTCTTGAGCGACTCTGACTGTACTTTCATCATGCTTGCGTACACTATCTGATGGAGTGAGCAAATCCGTTTAACACACAATCCTTTGAGCAGGAACTTTTGCTAGTTGGCGCTTGTTAGCTCATGTACTTTGTGCAGGCTCCACCAGTTAGATGTACCACCAAAACGGAGGAAGAGCGGAACCTAGAAAACCACGAAGAGTTCTAGTTGATTGAACGCCGCCTTTGCAGGAGACTACGGAAAACGTCAAAGTAGTATAATTCTCGCCTTTCTGGTTGAGTCCCACCAACAAGGATATCTTCCCGAGTCCCACTGCAATGAGTTAAAGGCAAAATTTCTTCATATTTCATTTTAACATGGCGACGGCAGCTTTTTTTTGGTCAGGCGTCTTCATTTCGGGACGACTGTACAGTCACTATCACTGAAGTAAGTCGGGGCGTGTCAGCAGAATGTGGGCCCTGGCGCGGCGAAAGCCCCTTTATCACCATTCTTCGAAAATCCCAAGCCGCAAAGAATGCTGGGGATCGCGCTGATGCAGTTGCAAGACACACGCTTCGCTGACACGCCTGACTGACTTCAGTGATGGAAGACTGTAATCATGTCTTCGGTTAACATAAGGCCAGCTAATATTTAGTTGTCACAAATAGAAATATCCCGTGGATACCCTATATTACGTTATGTGCGGATGAGGAACGCGGCCACGCCTACCCTATTTCAAGTGATTTGGATGTACCTGGGCAAATAGGCAATAGGTACCTAAGCAAGGCAAATATTCAAACTACTATGCTTTGCCGTTGACCACAAAGTTCAGCTGCCTGAGAAATCGGATGAATGACGAATTCGCACGTTTGAGCTCCCCTTAGCCTCCGTCTAGCTTCACGAACGGATTCATCTCTAATGTATGAAAGAGCCCGCCACTTTTAGAACAACAGCTTTCCTCGCTCTTTCGATTTAGGGTCAGCACTTTGTGACATACACGTATTTTTACCCGCTGACTACAATCGCGTGTTCAGGGAAAATGGTGCGTGCGACGAAGACATGTTCTTGCTTGTTTCCGCTATAAGCGGGCGGTTGCTCAGAATGCCCCCTCCTGATCCGCTTTTGTTTTCGAAATCTTCGCAGAGCTCTTGAGAGATCTGCTCAAAAGGCCACCCCACAATTCCTTGTCTTCATCCACACAGTGCTTTATCATGCCATACTCCACCACCTGAGCCTCACCTCCCCCACACAGCCTCATCCACTTTTCAGCCCGGTCATAATTTTCCGTTTCTTCTGTGACTTTCTGCGCATTTGCTACTTCGCACATACACTTCTTAGGACTCATAGACTGACGCTAACTTAAGTGACTTCAGCATGTTCTTCAAAGGCTTGCAGTTTTCAATTTCTGTGGTTTTTTCAACTCCAATGTAGTAAGAAAGCCTGTCGTTTTCACAGCCTTTCTTACCACATGGAATTTAACCCATGGACATGCTTATATGTGCAGGTTTCGCACCTTGATCACTCTTCCACCCTGCTGAAGCGTTTTGCTATTTTCTTTGCAAATTGGCGACCCTTCATTATATTTTTCACCCTTCTATGCTGTAAGTAAACATTGCCGCGCGCCCCGAAAATCTAACCCATCATCAGTCCGACTCGTAAGTTTTTCTTGAACTGGTTTTATAAAATACCACTGGTAAGGGAGCCTTTTTGTACCGGTTCCATCGATTCTCTCACCATTAGTTTCCGGACGATCTGTATAGTAGCGATTCATTTCGATTCATGTGTCTTAACGCAACTGGCTTTTAAAACACTTAACTTAATTATCCCAAGAGTGTTGAGTTATCGCTAAAACACCACCACGGGATTCGAACCCGCATACCGCTCGTCGGGCGGCTGCGCCGACGCCTATTCCGCGTAAATAGAAATAGAAATAGAAATATTCCTACTTTTGCCCACAACTCAGCACTCTTGTGGTAACTTTCGGATTGTTCGGACTTTTGTTTAAGGCACTGCGGCGTTAAACAGTAGTTACGCAGTTATCAAACAATTACAGCTTCAAAGCCTAATTTAACCGCTTCAGGAATAAATCAAAAATGTGGAAAACGGCATGTGACATGGCTCCTGTATTGGTGCCAGTCATAATATTGTGTTTTCAAGTGATTGGTCTCTTCGGTAATATCAACCTGATCGCAGCGACTGTACGAACAAATAGCTTGCACACGAAACACGGTACGTCCAGTCTATGTTTCTATAAGCATCGTCAAATCCAGGAGGTGGGGAGGGCGTGATGCGTATTTCATCTGGAGGTGGCAAGGGCGACGCAGTTGGTGCGATACAACCGTTCTGGGACATTAGGGGGCCATGCCTTTGCCCTGCACAGACAGATGAAGTTTTCTGAATCAAAATATCCCTCAAAAAATGGATGCTGCACCATGTTCAGATTACGTGCGCAACCATGCTCTCCCTAGTTCCAGGTATAGAGTGTATTCCTCTCTCCAAATTGCCACCCGTTCAACTTTCCCTATTTTCAACTTTCGCTTGAACAGCTGTGTTTTGGGTGGAAAGAAAATAATATTGAATATGTAATGTAAAAATATTGCCGTTTTGGGAGAGTTGTAATCATGTCCAACCTAGCATGACACAAGATGACAATCTTTTCAAATGGAACTATAACACGGAAACCCATTCCAATGCCATGCTCAAATCAAGTTCACAACCATGACTTCCTCATCCTTTCGATATAATATACATGAACTTCGTGTGAACTTGAAGGCAGAGTCCGCAAACACTTATAATTATCTGAGTTCCGTGGAGGTGGTATTTGCTGCAACGAACAATCTTGTATAATGTTAAGTCAGAACGTGGAAAGGTAGTAGGGGTGAAGCGAAAGGCCTGCTCAAGTGACTCCACCCGCGTTGATAGATGTCTTATCTGTTGCCTTGCTCATTTGCATGCTCACTCGCTGCTTTAGCTGGCCTCTCACCCATCAATATCGTTTGGCACAAGTAGGGCCTCATTTGGAACCCGACGGTTTCCTCTCCTTTTTCTTTATGCGTCAACTAACACATACTCTTCTGCTTCTAACCCTGCTACCTACAGAGTTCTCACTTGCTCACCGCGGAGTCTGCCTTCCCCGCGCTTGGGTAATTCTTAGACGTCATTCCTTGTATAAACGGTCTGGTCCTCCTCTTCTTAGATTATCCCACTTTCGCTCTTCTCAATGAGTAACGAAGGCGCGTGGCTTTCAGAATTGGGATTTCTGACGCTTCCCTTGCTGTCACGCCCAGCGCAACTCAAGGGCAACTTCTGTCCCAAATTCACACTGTGTTCTGCGTTTATTTTCATCTCACTGTCAGATAGTATCAGCAGTGGAACCCGACGAAAGTGAACCAGAGGTGGCAGGGTATAGCTTCTGCTGTCATAAAAGAACAGGCTGCAAAACACGTCCAGAGAAGCAGACAGGTCCTCCTTCAAGCAATCTGCCAGAGTTTTTTTTTGCTTTTTTTAGTCCCCGTAGAGTCTCTTGGCGAATACAGGTTTGTAATTAACGTCACTATCCAAACCATGCAATTGCGGGGTCTGTCTTTAAACAACGAAATTCATTAGCAACCACATCCGTATGCAAAAACAACAGCAATATTTTTCCCTATTACGAATTGTTTTGAGTAGGTGCACATTCGGAAAGTTCAGGCGTGCTACTGGCTCTGACATCTCTATACCAGTCGTTCTGCCTGCTGGGTGAATTGGCATTTGCAGTCGTTGGTTTGTATGGTACATCTTTACACAGGCACACGTGCTTCACTCTAATGGTTCCTTATTTAATATTCTGGTATGTATCACGACCCTTATACAGTACGCATGTTTATCATGAGAACCACTGCGAAATGCAGGCAACTTCGCGGGAAACTAGTGACTCTAAAGACAGCTCCCGTGATCAAGTGATCCAAAATACCTTTGTGCATTCGGGAAACACCTCCGCATTTCCACAGATTGTGCCCTTTTCGTCGCTCAAAAAGAGATAAAGCAGCAACAGGCGCGGATCTTTGTAGGCTTCGACGTTTTCGGTCTACAACACAACAAGAGGCGGTGAATTACGGGTAAGCATTCTATTGCCTGCAGCGTTGTAGGACGACCCCATGAGCTCGTCGCAGAGAGTGCTACTTGTCGACTCTTTTGCGTGCGCGCGGCTTTTGTGCTTACGCTGAGTACCGTTTTTCGAAAGCATCGCTGACCACTTGCAACGATGCATCGCCTTGGTGCCAAATCTCGTTGCGCATTGTGTTCCTAATTCTAATCTGAGTGTACTGGACGGCGTGTGGTACTACAGGGTGCGCACGAACGATTTGTGGGGTTTGCGGGATGTTGGGTTGCAGGGGGGGGGGGGCTGGGATGCTGCATCGAGTTTGGAGATCTTGCCTGAGGCTATGTGATTCAAGTTTTCTTTTTGCAACTCCTTCTTCTACTGGGTAGTCGCATATCTGCTACTGGTTTGCAAATGAACAATCAGTAACCATAATACTTGGTCGCGGAATCGTCTTCTAAGACAGCGTCCGTGATCGACCACGATGAACAAACCTTGTACTGTACAAGATCGCGGAGTCCGCAGCCACAGAGGATATCCCACTCCTGGGACTCGAAATCGATTGATAGACGAAGGCGGAGTCAACAATGATAAGCTGACTCCGCCTGTCGTGTTAATCCCGCCTCGATTGGTTTTCCATTATCAATCCTCGCTGGCATTGATAATCGCTAAATTTCTAGCGTTCGTTTCGTACACTGATAGAGATGAACTTATAGATAGATTAGATTAATTAGATTAGATTAGATAAGACATATTAGACAGATTAACTTTACTTAGGGAGTGGCCTCATGAGAATTAGCCGCAACGAGACGGCGACTGCTTTTGGAGAACTCACCCAAAATCTGCGAAACTCGTCCAGATGCGTGCTATTGAACAGGGTCTCAATTTTTGTTCTTGCGGCGCTTTTGTTAACTTTTTTTGATAAATGCTTTAGCTGCCACATGTTCGGGAAATTCTGAGCCCTACAACCTGCCAAAGTCGATCGCGGGCGCTGTCTTTGGGGACTAGGGCTTATGGCTAGATAGCGTGCAAGTGATGCTTTTAATTCCAGTTGTATGCAGTCGACGATGTTTTTTGTACTTGCATTCAACAAGCTGCTTACTATAATGTATCCGTTACGGTTAGTTGGAACAGAAAAAAATTTCTAGAAAAGCATACACCAGTTTGTCTCTCATTCCAACCCCTGCGTATTAGCTGGGCGTGTAGGAATGCTAAACCTAACAACATCTTCAGGCGCAAGACAATTTGAACACTTGAAAAAAGCATTTGTTTGAACTCGGTGCACCACTGCGGCGGATCCTATCTTGATGTAGATCCTACACAACTTGTAAGCATCATGAAGCGCTTATTCCTCCTGTTTTCTGCTCTAGCTCCATTAGTTCTTCTCTACCCACTTATTTCTTCAGTTATTTTGTGCACACGTAGGCGAGCTGCTACAAATTTTCGGAACTGTGTGATCACTGTTCAGACTTCGCTCGTTGCGCTGTACAACGCTGCAATTATAAACTCGCTTCAACTAAACAGCCTACAGCAGTTGCATTCTCTTTGATGTTTTTAGCGCCTTTTTTCTTTGTGTTTTTCCATTTCTACTTCACCTTACTTCTCTTTTGACTTTGCTTTCATATACTGTTAGTTATTTACGCAACTGAGTATGTCGTTCCATGCTTTGTACACTTCATATTTTCTCACTTACCCGATTACCGGTTTGTTTTCATTTCATTTGATTTCATGAGGTAAAATACAGTGCGTAACAAAAGTATGTGGACACCTCAAATTTTTGTCCTGCAAAATTGCCTTTGAATTTTGCGATATGAGACCTTTATTGTTGAATTCCTCATAAGCGAAAACATAGGAATACACTACTTCTGAGCACTTTGTGAACTACTGTACAATTATTTATTGTTTTGAAAAAGTTTCTTAATAACAAAAGTATGTGGACACCTGAGGAAGTCCAAAGTTTGGCTCCAGATCTGCAATCCATTTTTATGGTCTCTAGTCCCCATTAACCTGTACTCATACCTCGTCGTGGTAGTCCTCACGAACAAGCTCGGATTCGAGCTTTCAGTGCTGCAGGACACTCGAATAGAGAAATTGCAAGATAGCTTGGACTTTCGGCGACGTGCGTTGGTATATACCTCCAGAATCCTGATGGCTACCACTCAGTACCTGTTTCGAGGCACCCACGATCTTTGTCCGCAAAAGACATCAGAAGAATGGCCTCAAACTCCCCGCTTTCTGTGGCACAGATCCATGCCGCGATGAATCTACCGGTCTCAAAAATGACAATATGGCGCTCTATTCGATCAAGTGAGCACATCACTCGAGAGACCATGAAGAAAGCTCCTGTCTGACTGCCAGGCACCAGCTGGCAAGACTGAACTTTGCGCGTGCAAAAATGGCGACGTCGTGGGACAAGGTGCAGTTTCTTGAGATATTTGTAAAATCAGAAAGGCAACATCTTATGCGCATTTCTTTCTTAGGTTATCTTCACTGATAAGAAAAAGTCAATCTCGACGGTCCAGATGGATATCAGCATTCACTGGAAAGGCCTTTGTAGCGATCCGTTGGTGTTCTCGAGACGAAATTTCGGAGGCGCCTCTTTGATGGTACGGGGTGGTTTTGGAAGCAGAGGAAAGTTGGAGCTTGCCTTCCCATCGTGCTGTATGAACAGTGAGGAATACCAGCTGCTTGAGTCTAACCTCTTGCCTTTTCTGAGCGGGCCACGACGCAGGAAACATGTGATCAAAACGATTGATTGGCCGGCGTGTTCTCCTGACTGCAACCCAACCGAAATCCTGTGGGGAATCATGGTTCGACGAATCTACATGAACAGTGGGCAGTACAACAGCGTGCGAGACTTGAAGGAGGCAATAGTTGCTGCATGGGAGGAAATCGACGAAGACACCATGACAAATCTTGTCCACAGCATGCCAGACAGAATGTTCGAAGTAATAGTGAACACTGGAGGAAGAACCAACTTCTATTTTCCACGATACATTTGTTTTTTGTTAAGTGTCCACATACTTTTGTTATTAAGAAACTTTTTCAAAACAATAAATAATTGTCAGTAGTCCACAAAGTGTTTAGAAGTAGTGTATTCCTATGTTTTCGCTTATGAGGAATTCAACAATAAAGGTCTCATATCGCAAAATTCAAAGGCAATTTTGCAGGACAAAAATTTGAGGTGTCCACATACTTTTGTTACGCACTGTATGCCTGATGTAGTATCAGTCAGCATCAATCCTGAGACTAAGAGTAACGGTCAGAAACAGTTTCAAGTATCATAATCACAGCCCACGTTGCCTCATGTTAATAACAACTATATCGCAAAAAACAAAATGGCACCAGATACCTAATGCTTTGCGATATATCACGAAATACTGCCAAAACTTCCGGAATCTTTACCCCACA